CACATAAAGATATTTAAAAACCTTTATATTTAAATGTTTGACGGTTTTCTGTGCAGCACTTTGGAGAATGTGCCATATAAATAAAGTGGATTGGACTGGATTGGAGTACCACCAAGCTGTCGTTTTACTCAATTGTGGAAATTGCACTAAAAATAATTGCTATTTTTAATTGTGAAGCGGAAAAACTAGGGTCAAATGCCAGCAGCATTTAGTCCCGCGCCCACAGCTTTCTGACTGGACGCAATTAAAAAATCCTTCATAGGCAGCTGATTGGACTATTCTCATCCAGCAAATCTCCCTGGTGATTCTTATTCCAGTGGGAGGGACTGTTCAAGACTTAATATAGATGATACTTCAGGGTCATTTAGTCAAAAATATATATCATTTTAAGTGGCAGACATCACCTTTAATCTGTGAATAGGCGACACAGCTCCACTCCCCTCTGCCGTTCCCGACGCAGGTGCACCTCATCATGTGACCCAGGACATCGTGGCGCTTGTCCCACTGGTCGCCCACACGGTACATGACCCCCTCTGGGGTGGTGCACACTTCTTCATGAGCTAAAAACAGAATAAACTACAATTAGAGCTTCCGTGTTAGCAACAGGATCACATGCAAGCTTCATGAGACAGTGATATTACAAAGTAGAGTCTAAACTAGTGTTGTCAAAATGCCGCTGTAAAAAAACAAACTAAAATACTTTCAATACCTCATCATACAGATCTTTTTATGACTTCTTCTACCCCTCCTAATAATAGACTGTATTTCCTGCATCAATTGGCCTGCTATGCACTACTACTACTACTGCTGCTACATTGTACTACTACTACTAGTATTACTACTGCTACTACTAGAAGTAGTCGAACTACTTCTACTGCTACTAGTATTACTACTGCTGCTACTACTGCTACTGCTACTACCTTGGACTCCACATTACAATCATGAATTAAATCAATCAGCATATTGAAACAGAGCAGAAAAGGATTCATAAATTCCATCAGACTCGCCATTGAATCGTCAATAAACAAAATACAGAGGAACATGGATCATAAGTAATTGTAACAAATAAGACTCTTTCCTCAAAAAAGGGAGCGAGAAACAATGAAAAAGTCTTGTTTATTCCCTCCCCCAATTACAATGCAGCTATAGTAGTCGTGACAATTGTACTTTTAACAGCTGTAATTGCTGCACAGAGGCGGAAATGGAGCGTCTTCTCTTTGTAATTACCAGATATAGACTACAATTATTGGACGGCACCTGGGTCCAATGGAAACATCCTGAATGGAAAGTCACAAACAGCTGGGTTGAGCTTGGATGCATGACTGCATGTGTCTCTGTTATTAACGGGTACAGATTGTAATCAAGAAAGAAAGAGGGAGATGTTTGTTGGATGGACAAAACAAGAAGAAACACGTCCCATTTGAAAAGAACAGGGATATTCACACAACTCTCTTTAAAGAATTGCTCTTTATTGGCAGTGTATTTCCTGGGTGTAAGGAGTCACAGAATGCATGGTAGGAAAGTATGGACTGAAGAATGGTGACATGTGAACAGGGACTGGCCTCCAACTGGGACTCTGAGGAGCACAGGGACTGGCCTCCCGGTGGTGCCCAGAGTCAGGACTGAACAGGGGGAGGCAGCGTTTTTGCCAGTCTTCCTGAAAATGTGTGACGGACACTGACAATGTTTAAATCCCGGCTGAAAACAGTCCAGTCTTGCTGTGGAGACAACTAAAAAACTTTTAAACGTACTGTAATTATTTATGATTTGAATGCTTTGTCTGATTGTTTCTGTCTTGTTTTGTCGAGCACTTTGCGGTGAGTATGAACTATACTATGCCAATAAACTTGCATTGCCACTAAAACAACGCAATGCAAGCTAAGGAAAAGCTGCATCTCATTTCATGTTGCCCCAGAGCAGGTGTGGCTACTATGATAGCCTAGTATCCATTGAAATATTTATCCATTGAATTATAATTGGCCACTCCTTCCACCACTGACAAGAACGTCTTGCCAATGAGTACGACTGCAGTAAGCCTGAACAGTGAGTAATTTAAACCAAATACTTAATAATTATAACTAGCCTGGTCTTACCACACCATCGTACTCATTTCATTTTGTACTTAGGTCTGGATTTCCTCCATTGACTCCTTTTGCAGATTAAAACAATTGGATCTGAGATTACAGTGACATATGTAATGCACCCGAGTGAGTGAGGCATTGAGCATTTGGCCTGGCTTTAGCATTTAGCCTAGCTTTAGCATTTAGCCAAACTTTAGCCATCTCCTTTGCCTCTAACGGAGCCCGTGGGGAGTAGAGCACACACAACATCTTTGCAGCATTGACATTTGCTAAACATTCCTCTTGCTTCAGCTTCAATTTCTTGATATTTGGAGCCAATCCAGAACGGATTACTTGACTATCGCATTCGCTGTCATTGCCAAACTACCACCAGAAAATTTGCCGCTAACTCCTGACGTCACCAACACCTACAACACCTACAACACCCGCCTCTACCGTTCGCTGATTGATGGGAGGGGATTCAACCCAGGAATCTCCAGCAACTAGGATTTATTTATTTATTTAAAAAAGGATAGCCCCTTGAGATGCAGCATCTCATTTGCGAGGGGGTCCCACAGTACAATAGAGATAAGAGAATACAGTACAAAACTAGAAAAATACATATATAAAATACATATTAAAAAGGACAAACAAAACACACGCATACACACACACACACCCACATACACCTATTATTTTTGACTGTTTTCCTCCGGGTTTAGTATCCCAAACTGTGTGTATGGGACACCATGAAATCATAATACCCATTTTTCGAAGAAAGATTTGTTATTTCATGTATGTTTAAAAACAAGAACAGATAATTTGAAAGTGTTCAAAAACTGCCAATTTAAATAAGCGAATCGATCTAATTGATCGAATTGAACAAGGCAGACTATTCCAATCATGTGGTGCTTTAAATTAGAATGAATTGTGGCCAATTTCCTTATTAATTACAGAAACCTGAAAAAATAATTGATCATTATGACGTAAGTTATAAGAAGACTGAGATGGAGTTAAAAATTGTTTTAGGTATGATGAGAAACCCAAGTGATGACACTTGAACACAAATGTACAGTAATGTAATTTCCTTCTTTCTGATAGAGACAGCCAGTTCAGCTGCGAGTACATTTGACAATGATGTGTCATGTATTGACATCTTAAAACAAACTTACAAATACTATTGTAAACAACATCTAAGGAATTGAGAGAAGTTACAGAGGCGCTCTGATAAATTATATCTGCGTAATCTAACAGAGGAAGCAATAACTGTGTAGCTAGTCTTTTCCTGACTGCAAAGATAAAACAATTAATACACTGATATAAGTTTCGCAGGCGGTTAGTGACATTCTTGACAATGGTTTTGATATGTGATTTAAAAGTTAGTTGGGAATCTAAGAAAAGTCCCAAGTATTTAAATTCATCCACTTTTACCATCGGAGTTTCATTAGCAAAGTCTATATGAAAAGTATTGTCATTTATGTTATTTCTGTGATTAAATAACATGTAATACGACTTTGTCATATTTAACACAAGTTTGTTTTCAGTGAGCCATTTTTGAATCAGATTGAAATCCGACTGTAACGATCTTTGAATTTGTGTAATATCCTTAGAGGATGAGTAAATTACAGTATCATCGGCGTATAAATGTATTTGTGATTTTTAGCAAATTTTTGGTAGGTCGTTAATGAACACAGAAAACAGCAATGGGCCAAGGGCTGAACCTTGTGGAACACCTTTGTCAACAATTTTAAAATCAGAGGTGGAGCCTTGATAGGAAACACATTGGTACCTGTGGTGAAAATACGAGTTGAACCAGAGAATTGTTTGCTTGCAGAAGCCAATAGCATGCAATTTATCAAGTAGCAGATAATGATCTACCAGATCAAATGCTTTGGCAAGATCAATGAAAATAGCACCAGTTTGTAGGATCAGACCCAGACGTACATGTAGGAAATGATAATGGACCAGATTTAACGGATGGCTCAGACCAGCCCTTTCCAGACCAGTATTTGCCACCACATTTAGTTTTGAAACAATGGGAACCACAGTATTAATATAAACTGGCACCTCTTCTACATATAGATCCTGCGCAAAGTTACGTTTGTGAAATCATTCAAACTTGTTGCCAAAATAGCAAAAAAGACTGTCTGCTACTAGATTATATAGTGTCCCTGAGATGGAGTCTATGCATATAAAGTCTATGTCTTCCACAAGCACTGCTGCAATAAATCTCAAAGTTATGACTGTATTTCCTTCAAATGGGGGACATAAATTCTACGGCGACGAAATTCCACAGGGTTGGTCTGTTTTTTTGCAGGTAAAGAGGCAGACGGAGCAGAGAGCCTGACCCAAACACATCTGGTAAATTCAGTGTGTGAGGAGGAGAGAGGAGAGGGAGATGGGGCAGATGCCAGGCTGCTTCTGCACTGGCGCCACACCATATGGGACTTTCAACTTCAACTCTGGGTCTGGGCAGTCACGGTGGTTGGGTAGTAATTTCAGATGACGATTGTGACTGGTAATGTATGTGTCCGAAGTTATTAGTATTACTTTATTATATTGCTAAAAATGAAAAAAGTCGCATTTATCTGGATTTTGCAGATATCTTTGGCATTGGACAAGCAAATTCTCCTCTACTTACTGGTTTGATTGGATCCTATCTCAGGAAAGACCAAATATACCCAAATCAAAATAAATTCTGCCAAAACACAAAGAATTATTATCTCATTTTTATCAAGCCGCAAAATGTCTCCGGTTTTTTATACCACTAAAACATGTACAATAAGCTTTAACCCTGTAGGGCCAATTATTCTGAAATTACCGTTTGATACCTTTCTTGTC